CCCCAAAACCCCAAAACCCCAAAACCCCAAAACCCCTTGATTCTCTTTATATAAATATTGATGGAGTCAGTAAAATTCAAATTAAAAAATAGGAATATTTCTTATATCATTTTGAGATAATAAACACAATCAAAATGCTTCAATTGTTTAAAGCCAGCCCTAAAAACGAATCAGGTATTCGAAAAGTAGTATAACCCTCATCACCAGTAGCTAGTGATAAGTAGAATGACTAAAAATTGTCACCAAGATTTAAGGATAGAAAAAATCATAATCAACTCTTACTTAAAGATTAAATCGTAACAGTGGTAGAGAGATACTTGATTCAGGATGAAAATATAGATCCAGAAAATATGACTGAAGTTAGAATCGGGCAGAGGGTCTATTACAGAGGAAAATTTTTAGGAAAAGTAAAATAAATATATATTTGCCTTAATTTGTATAAAGGGAGGATTCGGAAGAGTTTATGAGTTTGTCAATTCAGAGAATAAGCAAATGTATGCAGCGAAGATCATAGATAAACAGACCTTGTAGAAATTGAGAAAGAAGCAAAAGATATAGTCAGAGATTCAACTTCACAAGAGACTTGAGCATCCCAACATTGTTAAGTTTGAGCATTTTTTCGAAGACGAAGAGAATGTCTATATGGTCTTGGAGCTCTGTCAAAATCAAACACTGGCTGATCTTCTGAGGAGGAGATAGTTCTTGAGTGAATTCGAAACTAGATATTACATAAAGTAAATCATAAGTGCTCTTAAATATCTTCACAATGCACCTTTAAGGATACTTCACAGAGATCTTAAACTAGGAAACATATTTTTAGATTCAAAGATGCAAGTCAAGCTAGGAGATTTCGGACTCGCAACATAACTTATTTAAGACAACGATTTGAAATAATCTATTTGTGGTACACCTAATTATATGGCTCCAGAGTTAATTATGGCAATTGGAGATAGTCAAACTAATGATTTAAAACTATGTGGCTACTCATTTGCTGCAGATATATGGGCTGTAGGTGTCATAATGTATTCATTAGTTTGTGGTAGACCACCGTTTGAAACACCAGTAGTCGAGGAAACATATAAGAAAATTAAGAAAGTAAATTATATATTCCCGACTGAGGAGTAAAGAAAAAGGATGGGCCTCTCTCCTCTGAGCTATGAGTTCATGGATTTGATCACCTTAATACTCCAAAAAGATCCTAGGATGAGACCATCTCTTGATCAAATTTAGAGTCACTCCTTTTTCACCTCAAAATACATAATTCCTGCAGAACTGCCTTAATATACCTTGACTTAAGCGCCCTCAAAAGAGTTTATTAGTCATTTTAAGAATGACCAACTGAAAAAACCAGACCAGATTAAGAAATCACCTAGAAACAATTTAGTAATATTGGCCTAGCAATCAAAAACACCAGAACTCATTTTTAACTTAGAATTCCTTGAGGAAAATCTAGAATTAAAGAGACTTGAGCTCGAATTGATTGATGAGTCACTACTGGTGTAAAGGTGGGCTGACTACACTAAGAAGTATGGCATTGGCTATAAACTGACGAATAATACCTACTCAGTTTTATTCAATGATCATACCTCTATATCATAATCAATTGAACAGCAATCAAATCAAATGTTTTCTTACTGCTCTGTTCAAACTAAAGATAAGAAATAAGAAATATAGGAGTACTCTATTTAATCATGCCCCAAAATTCTTGAGAAAAAGATGACATTACTCAGGTCATTTCAAAAGTATCTCCAGCAAATGGAACTATAAACTATGCTAGTACCTTCATACCTTGATATAAGAGAAAATGTTAAGAATCTCAAGGATATCCATGTCATCTAGACTTTCTAAGGGGATAAGTGCATGCTATTTATGATGTCAAATCAGTAAATTCAAAGTCATTTTAATGACAACTCAATGATTATCATTGATAAGAAAAGGAAAATCGGAGTGTTTTTTAGTCCAAAGCACCCTAAAGTCCCCTACTCCTTTTACATAAATAATCCTGAAGAAATTAAAAAGATTAAGCCATCAGCTTACAAAAGGTATCAAATAATACAAGGTATTTTAAGAAATCAGTCATCAATGTAACATTACCAGCAAACTATCAATAACAACAATCAATTCATATCTTAGAATATGAAAAATCTAGCTTTCAACAATACAATGAGGCCAAGCTTTAATAATTAATAACTGCTGCAATAAGACAAGGAGAATTCTATAAGAGAACTCAATACACCAGAGTTGGATGGAATTAAGACAATGGCTATGAATATTGGATCTTTAACTCAAAGGGAAATTAGTAAAAAAGACACTATGATTGAAGTCTAGCCAAGGAAAAGTATGAAAGGCACTCAAAAGCTAATTCATGAAAAAGAGAATTTCAATCAGGATAACTAACCCCAGATTATTAATTAAAAACAAAAGTCTCTTATTAATTATCCGTAAAATACAAGAATAACAATGAGAATGTGATGAAGCAATATTTTAATGCGGATATGAGTTGAATTACCTGAATGTATAGAAGTAAAAGAATGGTTTTAGATTTATATTTAAGATTTTTAACTTATAATAAATTTAAATTATTTTATTTAATGTCTGTGTCTCGCCAAGTCTAAGTGCAAAGAGATAGACTCAGATCTCGCGACAGAGTATAAGCTGGTCAACAAGTACTCGATCAAACAGCTCTTGAAAATCAAAATAGACTCAAAACTATTAAAGTAAGCTAGCAAAACCAGTATGAAACTCACAATGCCAAGCTTCAGCCCAATCATAGACGAGGAGAAAGTCTTAAGAATTCAACAATCTAGCTCAGTTCTCGTCACAACGAAGATGCTGTGCTCTTTAACAATAACGACAGAGTTTACAAGGATGCAGGCTCAAAGTAAGAAAACGAGAGAGCAGCTTTCTCAAGGGCTTCAGTTTCAACCTAGAGAGTAGACTAAATTGTCAAGAATATGGAGGAATTTGATTCTCCTTCATAAAACAGAGGCAGAGGATTATCACAGAACATTGGATACTTGGAAAATCTAGCTAATAAAAACTAAGGCGCTTCCTATTAGGATGAGGGCATGAAATCATTCTATGAAAAGTCGCCGGTAGCAAAGCATTACGCACATCATTTCCAACAGACAGCAAGCAGTTCGAACGGTTTCAACAGAAAGCTAAAGATGAGGGATACCTTTACGAAAATATTCCCAAGCTATACTCATGGACTCCCCACCGTATTTGATAAGCCAGTAGCTCATTCTTAATTTGTATACCCCGACACTATAGAGGGAAAACCTACTCACTAGATTGATAGAACTTATACAAAGAAGAATGACTTCATAAAGATTTACACAGAAGAGATTTTGAAGATTGCAAATATGAGGAGAATCAGCAAATGATGAATATACTTGCCGTAAAAGGCAGGCCTAGATAGTATAAGTATACTAAAGCCCTAATATAAAATTTTAATGATTCAATTGATTCATTCATTTATTTAAGTGAATTCAAATTTTATTCTTGAATGTTACTTCTCGGGGTTTTGGGGTTTTGGGGTTTTGGGGTTTTGGGGTTTTGGGGG